ATTTAAATATCAATAAGATCCAAATACTACAAACACAACAACTTTTTAAATACAACAAACTAACATTCAAAAGTGTAAGATCAAGTTATTGTTGGTATATAATTTGAGTGTTCATATAAATTTAAAAAGTTATATATTTTTTTAATGTGACATTGAGATAAAATAAATTTTGTTGATAGTATTAAATTATTATAAGAGAAAAATAACTTTTTTTAAAAAAAAATTCTATGAACTGGAATTGAGAAATGATTTAATTTTTATTATATATATGTATATATATTAATTTTTGAATACATTTCAATTAAGTATTTTAATATTTTATAAGATTTTTAAAAATAAGAAAAGGACAGGAAACAGACGAAAACTTTTCTCCATATAAGGAATGCAGAAATGTGGGGTAAAAAATTTTATACTAACTTTGGGTAGATGACATACGTATATACATACATACATACATATATATATATATATATATATATATTTATTAAGGGGAGGCGTATGAGGACATACATATATATATATATATATATATGTATACATCATTAGACAGAACAAGTAAGGTTATGATGTCAAAATCATTTTCATCTTTCCAATTCTCATGTCTTAATTCTGATTTATAAACTTTTAAATATCTTATATTTTTGTCAAAGAAATTACGAGATAAATTCTTTTAGAAAATCCAGAAATAAAAAATGGTTATTTAATTGAATTTTTTTTTAAAAAAAATTGAAGTAAAAAACTAAACTGAAAAATAAAATTTCAAATAAATAAATATATATATATATATTAGCAACTTATGTTATATATAATGAATTTTACATTTAATTTATTAGAATATATCAATTTATATACTTTTAATATCATTATTTACGACTTAACCGATTTAGTTTATAAAAATTTGAAAAATGATTGTCGATTTATTATCTACACCCAAATAATTAATTTAATCCTAAAAAATTTCTAATAACATTTTATTAACTAATTAAATTACTCTTGACGGATATAATATATATATATATATATAATATGTCAAGAAGTAGATAAGATAATATCTTGCTCAATAATTATTTTTAATCTCTTTTTTTTATTAAATAATCGGTTTTTATTTTTTGTAATTTTTTTATTTATATATTATGGTATATTGAAAAAATATTTATTATAAAATTCCTAAGGCATATGGATATTTATATACCTATAGACATATCCATGCATCTTCTTGCAAGTAAATTTTAATTTTTGGTAAAAAAATAATAAATTTCAAGAAAGCGTGACGTGTTGTTGGATATGGTTTAGTTGTGGATAAATAGAGCATATGCATAATACATATTCTATACGTATGTGTGTGTGTATATATATGTGTATATATATATATTGGTGAGGTTTGATATATTAGCCAAGAAAGGTGACCCAACTCCCCTAATTTATTTTCCACACGCCTTGTTTAATTTTCCCTCACGAAAGGCCTAAACATGCCTTGTGAATATGTGATTGCATTTTCTATTTATTTTATGTTTGGTGCGGATGTTGTATCCACCATGATGCAATAACACATCCATTTTTTACTTTCATTAATACAAGAAGTCAAACTCATAAATTCTTGACAAACTTTTAAAAAGATAAAGTTGTAATATTCAGACCCGAAATTTAATTCGAGATTAATTTTAAAAATAAAAATATATATGTAATAATATAATTTTTAAATTTTTAAATTTTTATTTAATATAAAATTAAGAAAAAAAATAGGTTGAGAATGAAATTAAAAATAATTTTTAAAAAACAGAGTGAACATTTAGGTTCAGATGGTATTTTTGAAAGAAAAATCAGAAACTGGAGGTCAAAACGTAATTAAGAAAAATTGCGCCACGTAGGACCACCCAGTCAGCAGTCCCGATAAACCAGAGCGCGCTACGTGACAAGGCACGCTGACTCGGTGTCACGCAGGAGGCCACGCTAGCAATCCACGTGCCTGCGATCTGACGGTCCGGATGCATTTTCGTGCGCGTGGACGGTCCGGATCTGTTCCCTCATCAAGCGCGATCGGATAGTCGCGATTAAATGCGATGAACGGTCCAAATTTGTTCCTTCTTTAAACGCGATCGTGTTGTCGAGATCAAATCGCGATGAACGGTTTAAATTCATTTTTTCTTTAAATGCGATCAGACGGTCGAGATCAAACGTGATGAACGATACAGATTTAAGAGAAATGAGTATAAATATCTCGCATCATACCAAACCCAAACCCTAGCCGTCAGCCTCTTACCAGAGAAAAAAAATCAGTCACCGGAGAAGGGAGCCGACCGCCACCCACCGTCGTGCTGGAGCAATCTTCCACAGCTAAAAAAGGTAAAATTCTCTTATCCACACAGAATTTGATTCCGAACACCCCCATGGCCAAACCAGAGCAAAAAGAACGGCAGATGAGTCAAAAATCGCGGATAAAGCCCGACAGCGTCGATGCAGGCAAAACTCGAAACCTCCTCCGACGAGCTCATTTATGTTTTCCGTTTCGTGCGGTTTTTCTACCATTGTATTCACTATTCTATTTTTTACAGGTTGACCGAAGAAAAACGTCCATCTGCAAAGGTGAACCGGCAGAGCCGCTGCACCAAAAATTCCTCTGCTGGTAAGTTTTTGTTTTTTGATTTTTTTTGGGCCAACCAAGACCCTCTAACGTATTTTCTTACAGGGATGGGTATAAAACCAGCCAAAACTAGCCGAAAACGGCCAGGTCGAGGCAAACCGTCTCTACGGGCGGCGGTACCGTCGCCGAAATTCTGAAATTGACCGGAAAAAATTTTTAACACTAATTTTAGATTTTTTGGGATATTTTTAGGTACATGAAGTATGTTTTAATCTTCGCATAAAAATTCAAGAAACCTAAGAACCGCTAGTAAGCGCAGTAAAAAGTTTGTTATTTCGAACACCGATTTGGGTAAAAATCATTTACCTTATTCCCTGTTATGGAATTAAAATTTAATTATCAATAATATAGTATTTTGCATAATTTAGAAAACTTTGAGAATTAATTACAGGTTACTAATAGAGAGAGAACCAATTATTTATTATTGTTTGTCATGTTTAACTAATTGTTTGATTTTATAACTTTAAATGCATGATAACATACTCGGATTGGTAAAATGATTCACTTGTGTTTCCTTAATGCATATATTATTTGTTTTGCATTGATTTACATCTAAATCGTGAAATTGAAAATTAAATATAAATAGAAAATTGATTGGTTATTTAATGAATGAATGGTAACCTTATTAGATATCCTGAGAGATAGTAGACGGATCGAGTATATAGAGAGCCCTACTGTGAATGTTGCCTCATACCGGACGGGGTATCGAGAATTGGTATTTTGGCGCTCATACTGGACAGAGTACAGGGATGACCCGTTTCACTCTCATACCGAATGAGATATTGAGGGATGGTATTCTCGGCGTTCATATCGGATGGAGTATGGGGACAACCAGTTAGTTGACAATATTGAATAATGGTTCATACGTAGTGAGATATTCTAATGGGCCCCCAGGGATACCAGTAGACAAATAAAGAGGGAAAGTTACTGTTCTTATTCACTTGAATATAAGATTAGAATGTTATTT